AAAAACGACATATTTGATATAAGTCAGCACCTCTATCAACCCCATAGCTTATTTCAAAAAGTATACTGAGTTGTCGGATAAATTTCAACTTAGAAAAATCCTAAAATAAAGGGACATGGTCGTCATTTGAGAGGATTCTCGCTCTACAAGGCGTCATGCTCGATTTTCCAAGGCTAAATGACTTCGTCAAAACTGCAGTCTCAAAAACGGTTTGCTGAAAAGTGAGCTTTACAACACCTCTTTTTTATCCCAGAAGTTCGTCTTCTGCTAAAGATCTGTCAACATATGACATGGTGAGTACTATCATCTCCACAAAGAACCTACTGTGAGCACATCCGAAAGACGATAAGGGGGTCAGCAGTACAGATTTGCGCCACAAGTGATTTAAGGTATAAGTTGACACTCCAATTACAACATTCAGTCTATTTTTTGTTTAAAAAAACACCTGGTGTTAGGATAGGGCGAAAATGGGAAATTAAGAAGGTAAAGATTCCAAATTCTGTGTTTCCATATTTTCAATTTCCATATTTTCATCGTGTACCTACTCTGCGATTACGTGATTCTCTCTGGAAAAAGATATTGTTCGCTGACAGCATTTTTATAACCCCTAAACATAAAGATCACAAAACTGCTTCCAAAATTACAAAGAATAGATAGATCTGTGACTTATTTTAAACTTTTTAACGACTGATAGATTTTGAAAACTATTTTCCACAGAATCAAGCACCATACTGTAGAGCACAGCCCTTTAGATTATACATTCATTGTTAAAACGTTTTTTTTAGCCTTCCAAAGCGAAAAAGCGCATGACGCATCTGACCCAGCAAAACTAATGCAATTACAAAAACAGTTTAACTTCTGAATTGGAATTGATAAGAGATAACACGGATTTCGTCGAGTGGCACTCTTTCCTGCTATAACTATAGCTACGCTTTAGCCCTGTATATTTACACTTTTATACCATCTATAGAGAAGCTAATGTGATTTTATAACCCTTTCCAACAAAAGAAGAAATACTTTCGATATTCTGAAAACTATCTTGAAGCGGAACTTACCTAGTGTACGATGACAGCGAATGGCAAAATGTTCTTTAAAAATTCTAAAAAAACAGATTTTTGGTCATGCCATTGCGTGTATATGTTGTGAATACTGGAAAAAAAGGCCACTCGGCTGTCTTGCGACGGAATGGTATTAAAAATATTGAAGTAGCCAGACAATTGAGGTAATACAGGTGCTGCTTCAAAAAAAAGTGAGTAAACTTTAGAAAGACTACTACACAAACATTTTCAACTAAGGGAATAGGCTAGAAGTATAAATGCTATGAAAAAAAAATAAAGAGAGTGGATCATTTTCAGCAATATTTTACGAAGTGGGAAGTTGGTCTATGGGAGTAACAAACTTAAAATCCTCTGGAAAAAGCTCAGCCGCTTTTGGGTATAGAAGTTTGTACGTTTGCTTTACCGTCACCTCAGCCGCACCAGCAATCTCTCCAATGTCTTAAAACATATTTCGTAACGAAAAAAAAAGAGAGCAATGTTAAATTTACAGATTAAGACATACCTTTTGCTGAACGTTTCTCACTGGAAGCTTGGGATGCCATGTAGATGGCGGCCGCAGCGATCGAAATTGGCGACCGACTAAAAGTGATAAAATGCATGAAGTTTTTAGAATCAAATATAACTGCCTACCCAGCAACAAGATCCATTTCCACAGCTCTTTTAGCAATACGGGTAGCAGCTGCCTATAATGGTCGCAATTTTCCCAGTTTAACAAATAAACGGAACTACCTGAATGGAGTTTGGTAATGACAAATTTCCACAGAATCTGGACATGAAATCCGCGGATGTAATCTGTTCAAGGTTGGTTTCCAGACTTTTAATAATCAGCTTGAAACAGCGCCCTATCTCCTTTTTTGAAACTCGAGAAACAGCACAGATTTCTGAACTATCAAAAATCATACAATTCTACGATGATCGGTGTGAACATATAAGAAGCTGAAGATTAAATAAAACCATACCTTTAAATGTTCTGGGTACACCTTCCTTTCGGCAAGCAATATAGAGACAAGCTGCTGCCTGAGCTTCATTATTTTTCCCCTTCAAAGCTTTACTATCTAAAACATCCTTAAACGTTTTGGAAGCGAGGTCCTAAAAGAGAACTAAACTTGTGAGTAGATGTAGTAATAGTTTTCAATTATTTCTTTATAAAACAATCATCACCTGTATGCTTTTCGCAAGATGAATTCTTTCGCTCATCTCCCTAATTACGCTCATTGCTTGAGTCATCTGGCGATCAGTGTTATTCATACTTTTACGCTGAGCATTTGCAAGACTAAAAGAAAATGATGTTATCAAAATGTGTTACTAGTTGATAGAGCACTACTAGCCTAGTATCACTGTCACTTGCGCCAAATCCCACAGCAATACTTGTTGAAAGATCACCTCCGCTAAGAAGTGGGTTTTCTGGAGCTCCCACACGGGAGGGATCTGTTCCACTTCGCTCATTAGAAAAAGAACGCCATTCAGTACCAACATCAACGAGCCTATAAAAAAACTATTACGTAGTAAAGGAAAACGACTCTGGAAGGCTTGCGCAAATGTCCAAATCTTCCAGCCGAGAAAGTGGTCTACACAAAAAATACACGAAATAGAAGAAAATTATTGGAAACAGATGAGAACACCTTTCGATAAACCCCTGCTCTAGTTTCTAAATGACCTTTGAAACTACATTGTTAAATTAATATGGTTTTGACTTTGAAGATTTTAAAATGTTATCCTCGTACTCAATGTTTTATGTAGTATTTGTAGAGTGTACTGCTAGCACATGATCAATAAATGCTAATTATAGAAATTGGAGAATGACAAACAACAAGACAGACAATAAAGTTTACCGAACTATTCACTGCTGCTAATAGAGATTAAGAACCACTTTGATAAAGCAGATTTTCTTCCCGCACCAAATCAGTACGATATAACTTTACACTTATTATATTAAAACTCTTTCTAGTGGCGGATGTCACTTCTGAACATCCTTGTAGACTAATCGCTTACTGAAGAATTTATTCTTTTCAGAAATTGTTCATAACTTCAAGGTAAAATAGAAAGTAGTCTTTCGCTTACCTGTCTCCAACGACGAGGCCACATTCGGGACAGATAACGTCACCTGCTCGATGATCCTCAACTAAATGAACGTTCGGATGAATAGGACATTCGACCGAAGTCATATCTGAATGACCAAGAAGCAGGTATCTACCACATAAACAATGTTGCGTGAAAATCGTTCTTTAGTTGTATATATAT